GCTGGGCTGAACGTTTTTCGTCCTTTGGGTCAGCTTCAGCTTCTCTTTCGCTGTCAGGCTCCGGCTCGGGGTCATCAACAGGTCTTTTAAAGATCGTTACACTGAGAATGCAGGCATCAGAAGGGAGCTTGGCTACCCGATTGTCCAACGTCCTTACATCCACGTCTTTTTCGATCTCCTGCCATTTCTTGACATAAGTCCAAGTACTCCGGATGACGTGCTTTGGAAACCTTGTAGCAGGCGTTCTAAAGGTTTTGGGAAAGTGCCCCACGATCATCTGTGGAAAGGAAGGATGCGAAACCCAACCTGGTTTGTTCAAGTACTCCGCCTTTATGCCTAACGGAGCAGCCTCTTTCAGTGCTTTTTCGATCCTGGGGTCGAGGCCACTGCCCGAGGATTCGCCTTCCGGCTCGGATTCTGCTGCATTGGCGTGCCTTATTAGGCCGCTGAACGGGGAAAACCCGATGTTGCCTGGATGACTGGCGAATGAGCCGCTTTCTCATCCTTGGCGGGAACGGCGATTGTACCATCCCCAATTACCGGGACTCGCCCGCGCAGCTTGCAGTAAAGTTTCCGGCCTTCGGGTGTCACGAAGTAAGGCATCTTCCCTGCGTACCAATGGAAATCGAAACCCTCATCCATGCATCTCCTACCAACAGAGCACACCGGCGGTGTTGAATCTAGCACGTAGCATTCGAGGATTTTGTTGATTTCAGGGACCTCTAGCTTAACGGCTTCATTACCTTTTACCGGCCCGTTGGCGGTGATCAAAGAAACAGGACGTGAGGCAGGTTCAATGGGTACGTCGGGGAAGTGAGTTCTGCAGTCCGACTTGCTGATGAGGTCCTCTTCACTTCCGGTATCCGCTAGGAATTCTAAGCCGGGGACCAGACCTGCACATGACGGACGTGCAAGTCGCTCGCACTCCTCGCAGAGGAAGCCTTCCTCCATGCATTCATACCCGCATCCCGCAGGCGTGTCGTGAGTCATGCATTCGATCATGGTGGCAAACTGCTTTGCCCACACAAGAGCCCTTTTCAGATCCTTAGGATTCGAGCGTGGACATGCCTCGACAGTGGGATAGACTTCATCATAAACCCTGGGAAGGTAGGCATGCTTTCTCTGCTTTCCTTCCGGTTCGATGGCAATCATTTCTACGGTGCTGTCGAAACTCACCTTAGGGAGTTCTTGCATGTAGAAGATCGTCTTACCTACCCATGTGCTGCCGGGTCCTTTGGTTGGGGTCTTCCTCCAGTTGTAGATCTTGTTTCCAACAAAAGGGGAGACCGGCAAAACCTGCTCGAGCTTAGCTTGGCTCCTAAGCTTCTTGGGGTTCACAGGACATGAATTGTCAGGAACATACCAATCTGTTCGGTACTTCTTGTGATGACGGATGATTTTGTTGCCGGTGAAGTCTACCTCCCAGTAGTCCTCGTCGTGTGACGCTGCCATAGCGAGCTTTGGCGAGATCTCAAGATCCGCTGTATTTTCGAACGCGATGGCGCATGCGGCCGTCTTTGGGGCCTTGTCACTTGACTTGGCCCGGGGACTTCTCCCTCTGCGCGGAGCAGGAGAGTTGGCCCTGGGTGACCCTGGCTTTGGAGCTGCCGGGGCTGCTTCGGACTTAGGTGCTGGAGCTGAGGGCTTCTCTATGTCCTTATGCTGGAACCGACATTTATCACCCTTGTTGCAGTTGCCTTCTTTCCAGAACTTGCATGTCACGTTGATTTTCTTCTTCGGCTTGTCGCCTTTGGGGGACAATGATCTCTTCTTGTGAAGGAAAGGGCAGTTATTGCCTCGCTTGCAAGTTCCTTTGAGGAAATCGTAGCATACTCCCTTTGGGCTAGGTGTCCTAGGCTTGCTGGGAGACTGTGATCTGCCTTTACTGGGTGATCTTGGCCTTGGGCTCTGCGATCTGCCACGGCCTCCTCTTGAAGAGGGGCTGGAAGTTCGGCCAGGAGACTTTGAGGCAGGGGCACCGTACTTATCTCCGTGAGATCTTGCGATGCGGTCACGGTTCTTGCGTTTGCGCTCTCGGGTCAAAAGATCCTTAAGTGACTTCACAAGAAACTTGTACGTGTGCTGATCCGTGCCCTCTGCTGCCCTGTCGTAAATCTCAAGATCGTACTTTAGTCTCTTGGACTGCCTGAGTTCACGAAGGAAAATGTCTCTTAGGGTCGTTTCGTCCGGCGTGTGGCTGAGCCCAGACATGACAGATTCCCAGTTGCTAATGAACACTGAAAGGTCGTCATTGATTAACCTTACTTTCAGCAGGTCCTCCACGGAGTACAGTGATCCAACCTCCTCGTTCGTCTTGAAGTACTGATCGAAGAGGTAGAGCACCTGTCGTCCTCGTACCGCCCTGAATTTCGCCGCTTCTGTCTCCTTAAAAATGAGGATTTCTCGGGAGAGTTCTCCCCTAGCGACTTTGGTGAGTGCAGCAAGAAGTTTCGTGTCAAGGGTGAGGAATTTCTCGGGGTCTCGAAGGGATTCCTGCGATGCGTCTTTGTCGTAGGCCTTCATCACCCATTTAAACGCCTCATCAGGTGAATCTGATGCTGCCCTGACCGCTTCCCTAGCTGCCGTTTTCCACGAACGATACGACTCTGGACTTGGAAACTCCGGAAGGCTGATAGACTCTGCTTCTTTCACTTTGGGTTTGTCAGCATCGGTTTTGCTCTCACCCCTTATGTTTCTTAGGCTTTGAAGAATTGCCATTTGGGTCTCTAGGAGACCTGTGTTGAAAGCATCCGTCCCTGGCGTGCCGGAATCGGCCGCTGGAGGGGCCGCTGTTCCTGGCGCTGCCTGGGAAGGTCCTGCCTTGGGGATTGAAGATGCTGTTGCAGACGGAATGGACTGAGCATTCAAACCTCCTGGATTCATTGACTCGAACAGACATCTGGCGCCTTGGGGGATAACGTTCGGCATTGAGAACATGGGCGCTTGAGGAGCTTTGGGGACGACAGAAGGACCTGCAGGGGTGCTTGGAGCAGGCACTGGCTGACTCTTTGGAGTAGCTGGATTGTACTGATCCAAGACCTTCTCTAGTGCAGTTTCCGCAGAATCCAACTTGTCCTGAAGCTCTTCATTCTGTTCCCTACATACAGCAAGGGACGCCTCATACTCTTCTTTCTGCCTGTTCCTAAACAACTCAAAGTGTGCTTGGAACTGTTCAACCATGACTTCCTGGGAATTCTCGATGTGCCGTCTCGCCTGTTCTTCGAGGTTCTGTGCAAAGCGTGATTCCGCCAAATGTTGATCCAATGCGTCTGTGATTCGGCTGTTTTGAAGTTCCGCTAACTCTTGACGCAACCTTTGATCTTCATCATAGGAATGCGCTTGACTCAAAGTCATTTCCGACAACAGGAGCCTTTCACGATTTGCCGCCTTGAACTCGCTTTGTGCCAAGGCTGCTTGCAGTTCTGCTACCACTTCAAGGTGGTTTCGTTCTGCTCTGTGCTCCAAGTCGGCTGTGTGAATTGCGGATGCTTCTTGATAGGTCAGCATGTGTTGCCTGTGTCTTGCTTCTGCCTGAGCCTCTAGTTCTCCGACTTCCAGTCTGATCTGGTTAACGTGTACTTCAACACTATACTGTGGTGCGAAGACGTTAAATTGTTGGACTGAGGCTGGTGCCGGGAAAACTAAGCCGGGGGCGCCGCTCCCTGTATGGCCACCCGTGACCGGGGGCTGTAAAGGGTTCACGGTGCTTGTAACTGTATCCATACTTGCAGGAATAAGTTCCGGTTCGCTCATGCGCTGATTGATTGTATTGTAACCAACCAGTTGTGACCAGGCCGTAGGCTATACGGCTGATAACCTATAGTTGTTGTAAACCACTGCACACACGCACTGATAATATACCCGTCCAAGTGTTAGCAAACACAGCAGAATACCATTGGGTATCTACCTTTTTCCTGCTAGAGCACTTATGCCACAATGCCGTACACACAACATGCTACTTCACACGTGCACAAATTACAAGCCTTAAACCCTAAGCCCTAAACCCTCAACTCTTAAACCCTAAGCCCTAAACCCTCAACCCTTAAACCCTAAAACCTAAACCCTCAACCCTTAAACCCTAAGCCCTAAACCCTCAACCCTTAAACCCTAAAACCTAAACCCTCAACCCTTAAACCCTAAAACCTAAACCCTCAAGCCTTAAACCCTAAGCCCTAAGCCCTCAACTCTTAAACCCTAAGCCCTAAACCCTCAACCCTTAAACCCCAAACCCTCAGACCTAAACCCTTCAACCCAGGGCTCGGGCTGCGCGACTTCGGCTTTTCCAGCTTCGGATTATCAGAGCTTTGGGCTTTGAGGCTGTTCCCAGAGACTCCAATATCTTAGAAGCTGCCCCCACCCTGTAATAGTGACTATAAGGATTATATAGGACCTAGGATTGTATTAGGGCCCTATTATATTCCTACTATACCACTATTACAGGGTGGGGGCAGCTTCTAACCAATATCCCTTAATTGAGGAATAGATCTTAAGACATAATAGGATCCCTAATATGATTTAAGGAATATTCCTCAACTAATTAGGGATCTTGGAGGCTCTGGGTTCGATGTTTCAGGGTGTGCCCTTTTGCTTTTTGGGGCTTCAGGGTTTAGGGCTTAGGGAGGGGGACGGTTTAAATTGAACGGTTCATACGATTCTTTTGTGTTTTGTAAGGGGGTGGGCTTCTTTTCTTTCTGCAGATACATCCACAGCTACAAGGCCATTGAGGGTTTGCCGTATACATATGTGTATACATGTATGCATGTATCGTAACAGTCGTGTATTATGCATACGGTATGTGGTTCACAATGGGTTAAGGGTTTCGGATTGAGGGTTTTTGATTAAGGTTGCATTCAACATAACCTGTGATAAGTCCCGGACCTTCAACCAACAGCGTGGAAAAGCCCGAAACACGCCCCAACTTCATAAACCCTGAACAAACAGTTTTTGGACCAGGAAAAGTCAGACAGACACCTAAACCCTAAACCTAAACCTGTCCAGGCCTCTGCGAACAACCAGTCTCCGTGTCGAAGTCTTCAATCAGCACGCGGAGCAGCACCACACCAGAGCTGATGCAGTTCAGCACCTCGGGTTTTGAGGGATTAGGGGTTACTGTAAGGGCGGTGTATGAGTCTAGGGTTTAGGGCATTGGACTTCGGGGTTCACAGAGGCTGGTCTCAGGATTTGTGCATTCGGGATCGTGATTGGTGATTCGCTTGCGCTACTCAGAGACTCCAATATCCCTTAATTAAGGAATAGACCTTAAAACATAACAGGATCCCTTTGTTAAGGGATATTGGAGGCTTTGGGCACTAGACAACGCAAGAAACACTCACCAAAGGCCTTAATGACCGGAAAAGCCTACCGGCCAAAATCCGCCTTGAGTAAGCATTCACATCCCGAAACCCCAAAACTTGGATGCTACTCAACAGTGTCGATGAGTCAGTGCAATCTCACTCTCTCTCTCTCTCTCTCTCTCTCTCTCTCTCTCTCTCAGTGTCTCTCTGTCTCTCCGTGCTTGGTGCGAGCTGCTGTCTGCACGGAAACCACCAATTACCACTTGGCACACCATGCAACTTCGACACGTTAAATTCCAGGTCGGACTTGCAGAGGCTGGGCGACATGAACAGAAGTAGAAAAGCAAATCACAAGCCACAGAACTTCCTAAGCGTGGTCCCAGTCGATTTACCCCTATATAAACCCCAAATCCTAAACCCTACACCGTAAGGCTCTAAACCTTCAACCCTAAACCTTTTTGGGTTACAGTAGTGGGTGCAACATGCAAGTCTCATCCTTCACCCTTGACCCCGCCAAATTATCAGCGCCACAGCCGCCACAAGCAGGGAGACGCGTGTGCAAAGGCATACAGCAGGAAGCCGGATCAGCACGATGATCCTCAGAGGGTTTAGGTTAGGTACTGCCCCCATACAGTAAGAGTCTATAGTAGGGCTACTATTAAGGTCCTACTACATCTACATTATGAATACTATTCAACTATTACTGAGTGGGGGCCATAGCCAAGGTTAAGGGTTTTAGGCTGTCTGGTTAAGGGTTTCAGGCTTTATAGGGTTCAAAGGGTGAAGTTTCTCGGTTTAGGGTTGAAGGTTTTGGATTCAGGGTGCTGGATTTTGTCGAGGGCGAGTGAGGCAGAAGGAAATCCGGGAGCACGGGATGTATTCGGATTCGGAGCTCCTTGCTTCAAACAACCCTAAACCCGAAAACGAAAACGTCAGGGGATCTGCAGGATCATCCTCGGGTCAGGATTTACAGTGGCCCTCGATGGTATTAACTCGTATTTTTTGTGATTAGGCTTACTACTACGAAAACTCCTATTATTAGTGATTGCCATTTTTGCTGCTACAGTTATTATTACCACACCTACTACCACTGAAATTGGCATCAGTGCGCTCGACAGCTAGGCTTTGGTGGCTTCCTGGGCAGAGCCCGAGACCTCATTGACGGAGAGGGCCCTGGAGAAAAGCTGTATTGCGTGGGCTTAAGCGGTTTAGCGGTTTCGGGTTTAGGGGTTCAGGGCGAAATTAAGACATAGGGGTGGTTGTCAAAATTATGGTCCCTTTTTGGGTCCTTACCATAATACGGCGCCTAATATTTAGGGTACCCAATTAAGGGACCTGAATTTTGACCACTACCCATATGGAACCGACTGATGCCCGCCAGCTGCAACCCTCACAGTCGGTATAGGGTTTAGGGTTTAGGGTTTAGGGTTTAGGGTTGAGGGTTTAGGGTTTAGGGTATAGGGTTTTAGGGTTTAGGGTTTAGGGTTTATAAGGGTTTCGGGTTCTGGGTATTACAACCACCCCAATGTTTTCGGCAAGGAACAGAAGAACCAATAGCTGCAGTTGGTCAGGTGGGCAGAGGGGCGGCGTCAGCGTGGCTGCCGCCTCAGTGAACTTCCACAAGCAACATCCCTAAATTGCGAAACCCTAAACCCTAAATTGCGTCCCAAGGCTTTCCAGGTGGCCCATAATAATTGTCTTTCCGAAACCTACAACGACCTATAAAGTCAAGAGCAACGGCTTATTGGGTTTAGGGTTTAGGGACCCGAAAAGTCAAGAGCAAGCATAAGGAAAACAGCGATGTAAGGCCGCAGCAATGAACATCACAGCCACGTAGAACGCGTCCAACGAGCCTGCTTGTCCCCTAAGCCGAAATCCTAAAGCCTTAATGTAGGGGTCTTAATAATTCATAAGGTTCAGGGAGTTCCTTATTACTGTAATTACCGTGTATTCTACCCCAAAACACTATTAACCCTAAACCCTAAACCCTAAAGCCTGAATCCTAGACCATAGTGTTTATGATGTTGGGTTCAGTACTTGTGGCATTGAAACTGACCTGCTAAGACCTCATGCAGAACTCCAGCATGTCTTAACAAAGGATCCCTCTTTAAGAATCTGTTCACAGTTTGAGTGAGATTTCTGGTTAACCAGCCTATATATCCTTGTAAAGACCCTCTCAAGCCATGTAGAGGGTTCTAAACCCAACATGTACTAAGTCCTACCTGGCCCCGAAAAACATGCCTTTCTAGTCTTCCTTATTCTGAATTCTTTGTGTAGGTCTTGATTGAAAAGGTAGGCAAACAATGGCCCACTACCAGTAGAATGCTATTGTTTAACCTACTTTTGGGGTCCAGGTATACCCTCTACCCAAGACCCTGAAGCAGAACCAAACTCTCGAGGGTGCAAGCGTTTGGTCATGGGCCCCACAACGCCTCCTGGGTTTGGGTTCTAGCGGTGCAGTGTTTCTACTTTGGGCTTTCAGGGTTTAGGGTTCAATGTGGTTTTAGGGGTTAAGGCTTAGGGCTTAGGGTTTATGTTTTTGGGCTTGAGGATTTTGTGACTCAGGATTTAAGGTTTTCTCGCTGCACAGCGGCCGGAACATCTGCAGGGGTGTCGTCCCAACACACCCAGCGGGCGCTGTCTTCACGTAGGATGCTGGATTGTACAGTAACTTGACCAAACTACCATACGGCCGCCTGCAATTCCGACCTTTGCAAAAATGGCCGGAGAGTAAGGTCCTAACCTAAGTGATTCAAGGATGCTGCGGTTGCGATGTTGGAATTTACGGATTCGGATTGAGTGTCTTGGGGAGTGCGGATAGGACACTTGACTCACTTGACGTTCTGAAAGAGACAGATGCTAAGCGAACTCTCACATTCTCATAGTGCACCCCAAAGATGTCCAGCTTCATACAGGGGCCTCAATAAAGAAAACTAGGGGTCAGCCGTAAGTTACATTACGAGCACTACAAGAGCTATGCGACACCGTGCATCCAGCTTGTGATTATGACGGAGAGTGTTTCGACTTTCAACGTAATGTAAGTAGAAGTCTCTACCATGGGGAGGTTAGTGCCACGCCTGGAGTGAAAACCTGTGGCACCAGAAGAGGCAGGGAAGCCACGGCAGTCAATGCCACCGTGCTCCATGTGAGAGCAGCAGTCATCCACCGAGGTCGATCGCGCACGATGTTGAGCCTGAGTGTAAAGTCTCTGACACCCAAACCCTTGACCCTGAAGCCAAATCCCTAAACCCCAAACCGGCAAATCGTCTGCAAACCTGAACCCAAGGCTTGTACGTACTCTGCTCGGCTTTTAAGTAAGCAGACACGGATCACGGGGGTGATGCGACCATTTAACTATAGCTTCCTTAACTATAGTCCTACTTGCCAAGTCCCCTACTCCTGTAAGTGCAACACTCCCCCAAACCCTAGGGTTTAAGCTAACCCTAAGCCCCAAACCCTATAGTGATCAGGGGCCCTAAGCTGGTAGGTGGTATCCAGTAGCCGGAAGGACTAGTGTACAGTCGAGGCGCCGCGTTTCCCGAGTTAAGGACTCTTCATGTTGGTGGATTGAGTCGATCCTTGACCCTACTTAGAGGATCAAAGGTATCTTTTGTGATATCTACTTACAACCCTAATCAAGGTACTTCTAATCCTAAGTATCCTTTATCTTCAGGGAGGGCCCACTAATATAGGGGCCTTAATAATTAGAATTTTTGGGGCCCACTCAACTATGATTATAAAAGGCAACCCCTAGTGGTATAGGTAATTATTATTAAAGCCCCTTATATCCCTAAATCCCTTAGAGTACCCGTATAGTATCCCTCAAAGGGACCCTTTAAAAGGAAACCCCAAAACCGTATAGGCAACAATTATGGCCTCTGTAAAGCCCACATACTTTGACTTAAGTTCCCCTTAGAATGTAGCATGTTATCCAATTATGACAAACTTTTGATGGCCGGGTAGACATGTCGAATTATGCACTCGGGTTGAAGTTTGAGATATTGCAAAAGAGTAACCGTATCGTGGTATCTGGCGTACCCTCTTTGCCATGTCTAAGCTCTAAGACTCTACACGGAGATCTGCAACCTCAGAACGAGCAAAGGGATATATACTCCTCAAGAACCCAGTAAATCCCAAACCCGGTTGTGGAAGCCCCGCACCGAAATATGATCAGGGTGACTGAATGGATGCCACGACAAAGGCCATCGCCAAGGTCAGCGCATTTAAATACACACGCCCGGCCTCGTACTCACTTCAGGGTGTGTGTTTCGGGTTGCTTGGGGTGTGCGACGTTGTGGGATCAGATTATGGGGCTTGGGAGGTCGTTTAGGGTCAGGGTTAGGCTTAGGGTTTAGGGTTTAGGGTTAGTAGTTCTTACTGCCCCAATAAGCCACACAGAAATAAAAAAAATGTTAAACTTTCCGATTCCTACTAAACGTTATGAACCCAAAAAGCTTAAAGGTTGGGTATTGGGGATCTAAGCTCGTATACTATAGTAGCCTCATAGATCCCTTATAGTAACCCTTATAGACCCCCTTTAAAGGAACCCTAGCTTACCCTAGGATACCCTATACCCTAAACCCTAAACCCTAAATCCTAAACCCTAAACCCTGAACCCTAAATCCTAAACCCTAAACCCTAATGGATCCCTATATGAGGTCGTTTAGGGTTAGTAGTTAAACGGAACTGAGGAACTGGAGTTTCGGATTTGGAACTGGAGTTGAGTCTGCCGTTCTTTAAAGGGACCCTTATAGAATCCCCACATATCCCTTTAAAGGGACCCTTAAAGGAACACTGTATAACTACCCATGAACCCCCCATATCAGGGTTGGAGTTCAAGTTGTTGGACAAAGCCCTCAACCCCAAACCGCGGCTCGGGCTGCAGGGGGGTTAAAGTTTAGGGCTTTCTTGCCCAACTGTACTATGCGGGCCTGAAGAATTAGAAGAGGGTTTTGGGATATCTTATACTATCATTCTAGTATAGAACCCGCAACAAAAATGGTGATCTTTATACTATCATGTTAATACAGAACCCGCAAGAAAGATAGGTGATTATTTAGGCCCTGAAGTATTCGAACTCACGGGGGGCTGAAGGAACACACCCTGGACTCCCAAGTCCTCGAACCCCCCAAATCTAGAAAAAACCCAAACCGCTAAAATAACACGTGGGTGGTTATCAAAATTATGGTCCCTTTTTGCGTCCTTATTATAATACGGCACCTATTCTATAGGGTACCCAAAAAAGGACCCTAATTTTGACAACCACCCATGTAAACCTAAACTCTGACACCCTGAAGCCTTGACTCCTAAAGCCCGAAACCCCCAGGAATCACGGAATCTTAAAGCCCAAAGGGTTTAGGGTTTAGGGTTTAGGGTTTAGGGTATAGGGTTTAGGGTGCAGAATCTTAAAGCCCAAAACCCTCATCCCTGACATTTTGACATCCATGCACCATCGAAGCCGCAGACGCAAGACTCGATCCCTGAACCCAAAACCTTAGAAGGGGCCCCCACCCTGTACTAGTGGTACAATAGGAATATAATCGGGCCCTAATATAATCCTTATAGTCACTATTACAGGGTGGGGGCCCCTTCTAACCCTAACCCCTAAACCCTAGTTCATTGTTGGGACAGGATTACACATGTACATCTTTATTGGTTTTGGGTGCAATATGGGGGCCTTAATAATCAGAATAGTGGGGGTTCCTTGTGGCGGTCATAGTAACATGGACACCAAAACCGCCATAAGGAACCCCCAAAATTGTATAGGTAATTATGAGGGCCCTATATTAGCATGATCAGCAACGGCAGCAGCAACAAGAAGGACAACCACATCTTCAGCCGTAGCACCATCATCCGTACCAAACCCTTCAACATCACCATCGCAGGCTGTATCATTTCCATGACGTTCAACAATGTTTCACCATCACAAGGTGCAGAAGCAGTATCGTACCGTCGTGTCAACCATCACATTAACATAATATGAAGCCACGTACGAACCAGAATAATGTTCATGTGGATCCTAAACCCCAAAGCTCAACCCCTGAATCCTTGAACCTCGAAGCCCTTGATCTCAAAGTACCCGATTCCACGAAAGGCTAAGCCCAAAACAACCCTCCACAAAACCCTAAACCCTAAACCTCAAACCCCAAGCCCTAAACCCCAAACCCTAAACCCCAAGCCCTAAACCCCTAACCCGAAACCCCAAACCCTAAACCCCAAACCCTAAACCACAAACCCCAAACCTAAACCCCAAAACCCTAAACCCCAAAACCCTAAACCCCAAACCCTAAACCCTAAACCCTAAACCCCAAACCCCAAACCCTAAACCCCAAACTCTAAACTACCCTCAGGTCTGCCTTCCTCCTCTGCTTGCCGACTTTCTCAGCCACCAGCCTGGAGGAAGTCGGATTCAGGGGTTCCCCTAGTACCACTTTTTTAGAATACCTAGTTTTATGGTAAGGATCTGTTATATAGAAATACAAATACTTTAAAAAGGGGTAGGGTTTGAGCCTCTAGGTAACCTGAGAATAAAAAGGGTGCCTTTTTCCCTCTTAAAGGGCTTACAACGGAACCTAAACCTTCAATAAGGGAATAAGGGCCCACTCTAGGTCCTAGTCCCTCACGGTATTTAGGTGGGGCTTTTAGGGTTTAGGGTTCCTGTAAGGGGTTCCTATAACGGAATCCCTTGAAGGATCGATGTAGGCGTTGTATGATGTACGGGCCTTAATGACTAGGATAGGGTTTTGAGATATATTGTACTATACTTACAGTTGGAACCCTAAGGACGAGTATTGGTAATTATCAAGGCTTCTATATTTGGGCTCCCGGCTCCTTTAAATTGTTTCTCTAAGGGGCGCTTCGAAGGGCCGAGCTTCGGGGATCGATAAGGGAGTTTCCGAAAATAGGGGACCCTCATAGAGTGCCCTTAAAAATAGGATCCTTTTTGAAAGGACCCTAAAATAAGGTGCCCCTAATTTTCGGAAACGCCCATATGACGAAGTTTAGGGTTTGGGACTTACCGGGTTCAGGGCGTAGGGTTTCGGATCGGGGCACTGTCATAAGGACAAGAACCACTTAGTTGCTGAGTTCATAAGCCCCAAAAAGTGTACACTTTCAGATCTCTATTGGGTAATACGGTTGATGATATAAATCCTGCATTACCCATTATAAGGAATATACCATAATTCCCATGGTTTAGGGTCCTTAAGGTAATGCAGGAAATATACCATCAACAGTAGTATCCCAGAAAGTGTAACGTGTATCCACTCAGCTACTAATAAGGCCATGAGAGTCATTGCCCCGAGGCCTTAGGACCGTAAGCAAAAGAACCGCGAACCGATTGAGTCACAAGAAACGTGCGAACAAGAACAAAACAGCAGGCTCCACCAAAGCACAAAAAAAAACTGTGCGGTTTGCATCCGCCTGTTTCATCCAGGCCCTGTGCCAAGCTGCTCAGAGTAGGACATAATATATGCTAGTCTTTCAGGGTCATGGGCGCCTTGCTTGCGAGGGGTCGGTCGCAATCCGGGACACACGTGGTCACTTTTTTATAGCTACCCTGCTGAAGTATCAACGCATCTGAGTGTTCCGAGTCCCTGAAACCCTAAATCCCTGTAAACCATAAAGCAGGCAAATGCACCCGGACCTTCAACCGATTAAGGAATCTACCTGAGGTCATATTAGGGATCCGTCCTACTACTCCTTAGCTAAGAGAGTTTGGAGGTCTGGGTATTGGTCCCCACGACCTTGTACCCTCCCCATGCACTACATCCACCCAAAGACAACCCTGTCCTCCCAATACATATAGAGATGTTTGCCTTACAGCCTTACTTGGAGGATCATGGGACTTAGTAAGTAGGGCTAGAAGTACCTTAATAATTCGCCTCGGCCCCGGCCGAAGCGGTCAGAGGTTCCTATTCGGATTCCCTCTATTCCCCACCTCTTAATCCCCTCCCCAGTGACCCCACACCAAAAATCGGGGCCACCGCCCCCCCCCCCCTTAAAAATGGAAACGTGTCGACTAGCCCCTCCTCCGCTCGCTGACAGGTGCGAGCTTTCTGGAGTTTTCGACGACACGGGACTGCAATGTAGCATGTTCATGTGCGTCTCAGGCTTGTTTTGGACGCCCTTTCGTTGGGATAGGCGGAGTATCGTGGTTGAAAAGGGTCTGATGCTTCCCTAATCCAAGACGCCCACGAAATCCACAGCCTCAACGGCCCATACTTAAGGCATCCCGCCGCTTGCGAGAGTCTTGGTATCCAGTGTTTCGGAATGACGACACCAAAATTCGTACTGATACTACCACTACTAATACTACTCACAATCATCCTGCTTCGTGTTGCTATGAACATTACTTTTACTATAAGTGCGATTCCAACTGTTACTTTTTTCCTACAAGAGCTTGCTGCAGATAGTAGCCACTTGCCGCATGCGCGTACAGCCGGGCCGAGGCGGACGACGCGCAGCGTTTCAAATTAAGGTTATAAGAAGATATAGCTATAGTTACCTTATGACCCTACTTACTAAGTCCCCTAATTCTTTAAGTAACTCTATACGAAACCCCTGGAGCCGTGACCCCTAACCCTTAAACCTCAAAAGCAATAAAGCCCTACTTAAAGGATCCGGGGGCCTAGTAAGTACGGTTATAAGTAAGGTAACTATAGTTATATCTACTTATAACCTTAAATAAGGTACTCATAACCCTACTTACTAAATCCCATGATCCTCTAAGTAGTGCGTTTTAACATATATAGGAACCTCAACAATTTAGGGTAATGAAGCACCAATGATTTGGGGATACCCGGCTTTGGCGGCCTTGCGCTAAGAGGCAGATCGTGGCTTGAGACTGGGCTGACTGCCTTCGCTGCTCTGTTTTGTTTTACAATCCAGTGGTAAAAGGAGGGACGCTTAATAAGGACCCCTAGGTATATATACCTACAATATAGCCACTATATACCCATTATATAGCCCATTATAGGGTAGGGGTCCCCATTAAGGGTCCCTCCTTTTCCCCTTGGATACAAGGTTCCTCTAGAGATTCGGATTTACGGCCGGACATTGAGACTGTGGAATTGCGGCGATGGTGGCGGCTCCATGGCTACAATGAAATCTGCTTATTATACCATGATTAGGTTTAGGGTTTAGGGTTTAGGGTTTAGGTTTCAGGGTTTAGGGTTAAGGTTTTTTGGGGTACAGTACAGTACAAATGCATAACGAGTATGACAGACAATGTTTGTAACTAC